AGAGATTAGAATTGTGTAAATAGATTTGTAATTTTGATTTGTAATCCTAGATCTGCAATCTGGACGTCCTAGGGGACTAGAATGCCCCCAAAAAAAGAAAAAATTTTAGCAAAAATTAGCCAAAATTTTTGCAACAGAGTTTTGGAGTATTTTAGTTGTAAAATTCTTATTTTTTGTCCGTTTGTAATGTTCAATATATCAAATTAAAGCTGTGGATGAGCTGAATCTTTTTGTCTTAATAAGTAATAGCAATTTACTTAACAAAATTTTGAGTATTTTTTAAGAATAAGAAAAAAATTAAATTTAGTTATATCTTGGTAATAAAGGACTTTAGAGATATAAAACTAGGCCGCCTATATATAAAATTTTGTCAGAAACAATTTTACTTAGGCAGCCAAATGTGTTTACTTAATAAAATATTGAGAAAAGTGCAGTTGTTTTTAGAGAAAACTTGGTACAAGTGATCGTCGGGAAGAGTTAGTGATTTGCAGATATTTGATTTAAAATGTCTACCTCTTGTTTTTTTTTATTTATATATCTCCTCTTTTTATTTCTATCTTTCTATTTCTATATTTTTTTCAATTTATTTACTTCTCTTTACTTCTATTTAACTATCTAATATTTTTATTTATATTTACTCATTCTGCATTTAATGAAATTATTGCAATTTTATTCATAACTTTTTTTATTAGATATCTATTATTATATCTCTACTATTTTGCTAATATTTAGAACAGTTTTGTTTATAACCACTTAATTGTTGCTGCTTTCTACTTTTTTATATCTTTTTTATAAGTTGATCTGCCAAGTTATTATATTTATTTTCACTATATTCTTTGACCTTCTTTAATTGCATTTTAAAATTTTGTATTTTTTATATTCTTTCAATTTGCTTTAGCAGATTTGCATTTTTGTATTTTAATACTTTTTTTATTTTCTATACTTTTGCTTTTAATTGCCTGAATAAATGCTTGACTATCTGTATAAATTATAACTTCTGCTTTTTCTAATACTACTAGTAATGCTATTTAGATAGCTCTTAACTTTGCTTTTATTGATAAATATCAATCTTTTATAGTACATCTAAATTTAGCTTTTTCTTCTTCATTTTTTCTGTATCTTTAAATTGCTACACCTTCTATTCCTATTAATGTTTTTTGAAATGTTTTTTTCTTTATATAGTAATCTGTTAGTATAAAAATTTATTCTTTAATTTATATACAATCATTATTAGCTCTTTTTATATCCTTTTTTTTCTAATTGGCTTTATATTATTTTTTAGATAATGCTTTTATTAGAATCTTCCTTTTGCTTTCAGATTATATGTTTCTTTTTTTGCTTCTTTTTGTACCTTCTTTTGTACTTAGCATTTTGATTTAAGCTTAATTTCATATTTCTTTTAATTTCTAATAGATCTTTTTATTTAACTCCTTTTTAGTACTTTTTTATTACTCTGAAATATTTTTGTAATTAAGTATATACTAACTTCTTTTATATTTTTATTTTTGCTATAGCCTTTACAGAGTTAAATCTTAGGCTTGCTGTTCTTACTATTTTTTTAGTTTTTACTTAATATTTTATATTAAATATTCTTTTTTTCTTGTTATATTTTTTAATTAACCTTCTAATTTTTATACTGTTTTTTCTTTTCTAGTAGGATCTACTTTTTAATCTTTTGTTAGACTTGATTTTAATCAAAGTTGCTCTTATACTCATTACTGTTTATTTTATTTTTTTAATATTTCTTCTTAATTATTCTAGTTTTATTATTTTTAAGTATTACTTCTTCTAATTTTTAAAACTATTTTTTTTTTCTTTTTATTTTCATTTCTTTATATATTTTTATTTGTTCTTTATATTATCATTTTCTTTCTATTTTAATTTAATAATTATTTAAGAATGAAATATTATAGTTTTTTTTTAGAAAATTTTTGTTAAATTTCATTTGTTAAAATACTTGTAATTTCAATTTTTACTTTAATCAGTTTAAGTTCTTTCTTAATTTCTTCTGATCTGAAAGATATTTTGGTTGATCTTTAGTATAGTTGGATATATATAATTATTATATAACTAGTGTAAGACCCGTCACATTGCTTCGAATTTAAGTACCTTTATATATTAATTTTCAAGAATATCACTGTAATATACAATCAATTACATTATTAAACTGAACTATCCATATATGTTATTAGCTAAATTAATATATATACTCTGTATAAGTTTCAATAATCCTTAGTTATTTTTCATATTGTTTAATATGATAATGTAAAGCTTGACAAAAAATAGGATTGCTAGTAAATGTGCACTGCATAGTAAAAATGTTTTGGTTTCTCTATATAGTGTTAATATATTAATTTTTAATTGAAGTAAACATTCAATTAAAGCACTGCAGTAATAAGATGATTGATATGTATTGTGTAATATGATGATCAATATATGATTTTATTTACACATGTTCTAGCCAATCAAATATTATTTTTGTCTCCTATTGTTTATCTCATAGTGTTTATCTCTTAGTTGTTTATCTATCTATAGCAAATTATATAAGAGATTATAATATATATAATCTAACTATTTTGAACTAATTTAAGTAATTTTATAATTCTTAGAGTCAGAATTAAGGTTAGAATTTAAATTAGCTCAAATTAATTAGATTTTAAATATTATAATTTTGTAATAATTTATATAGGATTTTGTAAAATACTGCCATGGTGATAATCATCAGTCCTATTTTATTACAGTTATGTGACTATGTAATATATTAATATAAATGCTACAATTATAGATATAAGTTTGAAATAATTTTAAATTCCAAACCCAGTCTAAAATTCTTAAAATTAAAGCTTGTCTTGTATATAGTGTAACTAAACACTTAATATCTATTCAAAATTTCAAATTATCATATGTATGTACTTTGTTAGAAATTAAGCTATTTTACTAGTTTGAATTATTTAAACTAATTCAAATATAGCTACTACTCTAGAAAATCACAAGCACAAAGTTCCAAACAAGTTACATAGCAATTTACGTATATATGTATATATGTACGTACGTACATATATGTGAATGTAGAAATTTATACGTACTACGATCATTAGATTAATAATAATAGCAACAAAAAGAAAAATAATCTAATAGTACGTATCACATTAATTAGTATAGTCTTACCTCTCTAAATGCATATTCATTAAGTTCATCTTAAGTATCTATACTCTACAAATGCTTACATAATTCAATCTTAATTCATAACAGCAACCAAGTTAATAATGATAAATTTTCTTAAAGGCTCAAATTACTGTACATTGTATAAATTTAGATAGAACTAAGTCTGATTATAGTAAATCAATTACCATTACATCCTATATATGCATCTGTATCAAATTACATAATAAACCATCGAGCTATTAGGGAACTTCCACTTATTACGTAAATATAGCCCCCTCTAGAGTCAATCATTTGACAATTACAAGTTCTAAGGTAATCATAATATAACTCTATACAATTGGTTATTTTAGAGCTTGCAATTGTCAAACGATTGATTACTTTAGAACTTGTAATTGTCAAATGATTGACTCTGGAGGGGGGCTATATTTACGTAATAAATGGAAGCTCCCTTAACTTTTAATTTTATTAAACATCTAAATTGCCACCCATTAATTACTCTGCAGTGCATTTCTTTTGATAATGACTAACATTTCTACACTTTAAACACCAACGTTGATTCTTTATACTCTTTATATTAGAAGATTCATAAGATGACTTGAATCTCTTAATATCTAATGGATGCCTCTTACTACAATGACATTTTGGATTTTGTAAATGAACTGTCACAGATTCTGAATTTTCTTTATTATCATCAGTTTCATCTAAAGATTCTTCTGAATCAAGACATTCATCATTATCTCTCTCATTAATAAATTCTTAAAGTACATTAAGAAGATGTTGTGATTTACTTTTGTCTTGTAATGCTATTTGTAAAGCTTTTTTATAAACGCTATGTATTTTTTCATAACTAATTTTTTGTTTAAGTATGGTTTGTCCTTTTCTACAAAAACCTTCATTTTGCTGATTAAAAAGACACAAATATGGTACTGCTACTTTGTCATATACAATTTCTTGATTTTGCATATATTTATCAGCAATTAAGAACTGTTCTGAACTAATTTTTGTTGTACAATACTATTGTTTTAGAATAACTTGAATGTGGAACTTTGCATTTTAGTGGCTAACATTATTTGAAAGTAATGTCTGCACACAATACCACATTGTATAATTGAAAGACAAGAATATATGTGTTCTTGATTTCATAGTAATATAACATAATGCTTGATGTTTAGCAAATTTCCAATATTTACTGTCCATATCTCCTTACAATTAGAAGAACTAATAAATTCAATCATTTGTTTTAATGTAAAGTGCAGTGCATTAATAGTTAAAGTTTCGCCAATTGGATTATCTTTGTTTTATAAACTATAAATATTAAGAAATATATATATACGTATGCAAGAAATAATTAGATAAAAATTCAACATTACCAAGCTTAAGGTTTTAGCATTCTCATCCACAACCAAACTTGCAACATAATATAAAGATTGTTTTATTTCGTCACGATGCATTTTTAATATTGCAGTTGTAACGTAATTTTGAAGACATTCATCAATTTTGATGAACAAAAAATTTTGCATTGTTTTGATTTTGCACAGTAGGAATTGCCAAATGCCAATAATTGTATTCATTTTCCTTATCTTAAATGTCAAGGAGTCTGTTAATTTCATTTATAAGATCACATAAGGAATATTAGAGTTATGCAATAAAAATTTTAAGCATGTATTGACAAATTCTATATGGGAAGTGGTGGCTATTATGCCTTCTGTGAATTTGAACCCTGTATAACAATAAGCCCAATATGTTTTGTTTTTGTAAAGGAATTCTAAGTAGGATTGAGCATTAGGATAGTCCTTTAAAAGTATTTTAAATCATTGCTGAAATTCATTTTCAGATAAACTATTGCGACAAGCATAGAATTCATCACAAAAAATCTTTGGTAATTAACATTTAAAGTGTTTCGAAGATTTTTGTGCAAATTTTGTGTTATGTGATAGGCACAGTGAATAGAGTATGTTGATAAAAAAACTTGACAAATAGCAGTATCAATAGCTAGGTCAGCATTAGTAAGTATAATAGCCAGAAATATACTTGTTGATTTTAATAATTGACTAAACATCCATACATGAGATTCAAGACTTTCATTTGATAAGAGAGTCTGAGCAAGTAAAAATATTATATCGGTTATTATCAAACCCAACAAATAAGGATAATGCTATCCTATATCTGTTGGTCTTATGGGTAATGTCGTTGAAAATGCAATCAGAATAATATATACAATTTTCAATTTAATCAGAGATCATCCAAAACAAATGTGTTAAAGCATTATCTTCATCCTATCTGCATATAACAATCTAATGTGAATCAGTTTTGTTTTGTCTATCAAGCCAGTTTGAAACTTGAGCGGTATTATTTAATAAAGTTTTTAAGGTTGGTCGAAATTTTTGAATTGTTGTATTAAGATCTTTTATATAAACAGAATGTAAAGGATATTTCTCTTTGAGAAACTTTCTTTGAGAAGTAGCACTGAATTTACACTATACAGTCATAAATTGAATATCTTTGATTATCTTTGCTATAAATTTCTTCTCCTCTTCAAATTTAATTAATAATGAATCTAATAGATGGTTATGCTTTTCCTTGAATTTATTAATGAATACTAATAATTCTAGGTTTTTGACTTTTGGATATGAAGCATTGATTAAAAAAGAACATCACATTTTTTTGAGCTAGTATCTTTAGTTAAATCAAAGCTATGAGTTCGGCCATGTTAACATAAAAACATTCTCTGCCAAATTGTATTTTCTTCATGATGAATACGATTCTTAACTATCTGTAAGCCTTTTTTTTTAGCCTATGCATCAAGGAATAATTCACATTAATCTCACATCAAAAAAGTATTTCCTAAATATAAAGACACAGCGTCAGGTTCTATAGGACTGTTTAAAACATCTACAAATAAAACTCAAGTTAATTAAGTTATGTCTATTATATATTTTCTTCATATATAAAGATTCAGTATTGAAGTATATATTGTTTGGCATTGTATAATCAACAAATGATAACTAGACTTTATAATACTTGTAGTAAAACTCAAAAAGGTTTGCTTTAAAGTTATAAAATACTACTATAACATATAATTATCCGTGTTGAAAGTTAAGCTTGAATTAAAAAAGATACTATTTTCTATTTCTTCATTATCAGTAAGCATGAAATTTAAAAAAATAGATAATTCATATAAGTATTATTGTCTATATTTCTAGGCCTTATGATAGTGGTAGTAAAACCAAAAAAGTTGTGCAAAATTATAAAATACTACAGTTAGGGAATATACCAAATTAAGATAACATAAATCGCTCTTTTTATGGCAACAAAATATCGATCAGACTATTATAGATTTCTTCCGATCATTTTACATGTGATAATCAGCTCTGTGCAACTAGCTAATAAAATTCCAAGAATTTTATTACTATACGCTAGTATGTACTGTCAGCATACGTATATACGTACCAGTACAAAGTTTTTATTTATAGCAATAGAGATTTAGATTAATAACCATACAATGATATTGTTTTGCCAACCATATGAGTTATTAAAGAAATCACCATTTATTAATATAAATTCAAGTGGACTTAAAGTGAGCAGAAACATCTTTATCAAATATATTTCAGCATTTTTATTGTATAGAAACTCAAAGTTCACGTAATCAAGAAGGTACTGAAATAGGGCTTGCTCTTGTCAAAGAACTTATTATACAACATGTTGGGGTAAAGAAATCAAAGATTTAAAAAACCAAACCCAAATTTTAAATAAAATTAATGAATATTCTGCTGACTGACTGACTACTGCTAACAAGAAAAACATTTTACTAGAAAACCAAGTGCAAAAAGAAAAGAAAGTAAAAATCTCTTCCAAGCTACTAAAGAAGCTATGGTAGAAGCAACCTTGAAGTTAAAAATTAAACCTGATTTATGTCTGGTAAACAGCAAGGAGGAAATTATGGAAATATCACTGTAGCTTCTAAAGTAAATTAAGGAATGATGTTTAAATGTTAGTTTTTAATAGAATATAACTTGACAAAAAATCAAATACAGCTTGCTTGTGATGGTCAAAATGCTTTAAAAATTTTAAAAAAAACTTAACTTAGCGGCAAGTAATTATATATAATTTATTAGATTTAGTTTAATAATAAAATTTATTAATCTATAGATATCATGATGCCAAATATGAATGGACACAAGTTATTAGATGTATTAAGATCTAATACAGAGATACAACTGATTCTTAGAATATTATTATCTACAAAAAGTGACGAATATTCTAAAATTAAAGATAATTTAATTGATGATTCTCCAGTCAACTGAAGAATGATCATAGTGAAACGTGATGCAGTTCTATATATAAATTACTATAGGTGCGAAAG